GCCTGGGAAAAGAAGATTTCTTTGAGTCTGACCCTCACAACCGGCAGCCCAAGAGAAATTAATTTACCACTGAAAATAAAAGGGCCATTTTAATTATGAACTGGATTTTTGAACGTACTGTTATTTTAGGTGACCAATGCTATTGCACACCAATAAGAGAAATTTATTGTTTATTAAGTTTACATCCCCGTGCCAGAAGGCATGGTTTGTCTCCTATCCAGGAATAAGCACGCAGGCAAAGAGAGAAGAGTTGATTTACTGAGAGCCAGATACACAAGAGGATCAGCTGTGGGGCAGCCATGCTCGGTTTCTCCAGGAGTTCCGTTTATAGGGCAGATCTCTCAGGTTCAGCCCAAAGAACTCCACGAGACAGTACAGATACAGTTCTGTTGCACTTATTAGCTTCCACCTCCAGGACAGAATCTCTCCAGATTGAATCTAAATTTCCCAAGCCAGGAAGCGAAAACACCGTGAATTCCTTAGGTTGGTGCCAGTCTCATCTTCTTAACCTTCCCACGCTCCTGCTGGGGGCTAAGGAAATGCTTATCTCCCTGAGCGCACCCTTCATCAAACCATTCCATCACATATTGTTCTTGGAAAGGTGAGAAGGAATGCCCACCCTCGAGGAATTCTTGGAAAAGGTGATTCCCGGATTCCAAGAGAGGTGAAATTGGTAGGATCTTGAGAAGGGAGCCTACTCAGGTCAGGTGCCCTCCTGCGCTGGGGTTCCCTGTGGTTCCCTTACCTGGCATGGTCTAATTGGCATCTAGATCCCTTCAGAGAAGAAATCTTCTTATGATCTGATTAAGGCTTCAAGGAAAGTTGGCCCTTCCTATCAGGTCTTTGTTCTTTAATTCTGGGCTGGGGTGGAAGACTCCTGATTCTTCCTGCTACGTTTTTAATCTTTTTAGGTGAGCCCGTTCTTACTATAATTTGATCATATGCCTTGATTGCTGTTCAGATAAACGATGGTAGGGTGAGACAAATGGGAAGCTTTGACTTCCTGCTGACCTGGGGGGGGGGGGAAGTTTGATTTACTTCTCACAATCCCTCCTTTTTCTTTTTGTGCAAAAACAGAATATTTTATGCAGAATCAGTTAGGGAATCTTGTAGCTATACATCATCCTGTGACTCAGATTCATATTTTTGGCCATTCTGCATCAAGATTAGGGGTCCCTGCCTTGGGGAAAGGGTGTTGATCTTGCTTTGAGAACAGAAGAGCATTCCCTACGACACCCCGAGCAGGA